TCAAAAGCTGTAATGTCTCATGAGAAATACAGGGTTATGGCTGCAGCAGGGATAGTGTCCTTTAAGTGTCTTAAATACGAGCAAATTGCTCCCTCCTGTGAAGCAGATGAGCCTGGTTGGGGACCAAAGCCTCTTGGAGAGGAGGGACCTGCAGCGGTTGGAGAACTGAGAATTTCAATTGCATGTTTACAGCGTTTGTCCTGATGCCTCCTGCTGGTCTCGCGGGCTTCCAGCCCCCCTGGCTTCTGCACCTCATCCAGCATTTTCAATAGTCTCAAGCCTCCTCCTAGGCAGAGGACGCCAGTCACACATACTGTGAGCACAATCCTCCTCATGTACACCTGATGCCGGGCTACCCTTTCCCTGTGCTGTTCCTGTGCATGCAGGAGGAAGGACACACCATCTGTGGTGACACTAGAGGGATGTGACTGTGCCACGCTTCTGAAGGGAAAAGGCAGCGGATGGATAAACACACGGTACTTCAGACTCTCTGCAAGCTCGGGTGAGGTGCTGAGCTCCAGCCATCAGAGCAAGTGATGCTCTAGGGCTTTTTGTAAACGAGGCTGAGAGCACTCTGACTGCTCTATATACCCCCCCCCCCCCCCCCCCCCCCCATTTACTAAACGGAGCAGCCCCCTGTTTCCCTGCCCCCAGAAGTGGCATGCGATGGGTATAACGAGACGCATTTTCTCATCGAGCATTATTCAGAAAACACGGAAAACGTGTCACGGTTTTACGCTTCTGTAGTGAGCTCAGGCCTGCCTTCCGCAGCCCCCGGAGAGGCTTCTCCCCGCTACGGGGGGGCCGTGAAGGCCACAATAACCAGGGCCGCTGCCTCCCGCGCCGCCGGGTCTCACCTGGACGAAGGCGATGGGGGTGGTGGTGCCCTCGATGTCCAGCAGGATGGCGCGCACCTCCGCCGGCACCGGCAGCACACCCATGGCGGCTGTGGCAGCGGCGGCACGTGGGGCGTACCGGGGATGCGCGGCGGCGGCCGGCGCCCCGCCCTGCGGCTGCGCGGGGGGCCGGGCCGTAGCAGGCAGTGCCAAGCCGACCCGCCGCGGATCGTGAAAGGAGAGTGCGGCGACGGTGGGTCCTCGGCGACAGGGAGTGCTCCGCCCTCGGAGCGCCCGCCCCGCCCCGCCGCCTCCCGAAGGGGCTTGCTGGGCTGCACGTTACCCCCACCACCACCTTCCAGCCCCGGAGTCCGCCTGATCCAAGCCCTGGGCCGCCTAAGCAGCGACCCCCGCCTCGACCCAGAGGAGCGTGGAGCAGCAGAGGGGCGAGGCGGGTGGTGCTGGCGGCTGCACGCCGCGCTCCGCGCCCCACGGCAGGCAAGGTTGTACCGGCGCCACGCCCGGACCTGCCGGTGATGCGTGGGGGGGCCCGGCCGCCGATGGCGGGTGGGTGTTGCAGCCCCACCGGAAGCCGCCAGAGGCGCTGCGGCGCCAGAGGAGAGGGAAGCGCTGATTGGCTGCTGGGGCGCCTATATAAAGGCGGCGCAGGCGGCGCCCGGATCTTTTCCGCCGCCATTTTCTGCTGCGAGCGGGTCTCCGCTGTCTCCGCCGCCCGCCCGAGCAGGTCCGCCGCTCTCGCCCCGCCATGGAGGACGCGACTGAGATGAGCAGCGGCCAGGAGGAGTTCGCCGAGGGCTCCAAGATCAACGCGAGCAAGAACCAGCAGGATGACGGGTAAAGCTTGGGGGGGGGGGGGGCTCGCGTCTCTTATTTCCCTCGCCCGCCCTCCTGGGCCGCGCGGGGTGGGGGTGGGGGGGTGGGGCGGGAGATGGCTTGAGGGAGCTGGGGGGGGACGGGGGGACGGGGCGGGGCCTCCCTCTTCCCACACCAATGGCCGCACCCGCCTTTGTGTCCTGAGAGTCTGACCCAGTTTCCGTGGGGCGAGGAGGGGGGGCTGCCAATCAGGGTGCGTGACGTCACTGCCAGCCTATGGGGGCGTGCGCTTCTGGCGGGCTCGGGGTGGGGAGGGGAGGGACGCGTAGATCCGGCCCACGTGTAACGGCGCGTCCGGGCCCAGGAGCCGCTACGGCCCTGAGCCGCTTGCGGTGCCTGGTGCTGCAAAGGCATCCGGATCGCCTTTGGCTTGTGGCGGCCACGAGTCGGCTTGCTCCATACTTGGGTTTGCTCTGTGTGTGTGTGCGCGCTAGCGTGTGTGCATACACTTGTATTTATGCGTGTGTATTTCCTGCGTTTCAGGAAAATGTTTATTGGAGGTCTCAGCTGGGACACGAGCAAGAAAGATTTGACAGAGTATCTTTCTCGTTTTGGCGAGGTTGTGGATTGTACGATTAAAACGGACCCGGTCACTGGAAGGTCGAGGGGATTTGGGTTTGTCCTCTTCAAGGATGCTGCCAGTGTGGAGAAGGTGGGTGTATTTCTTGTGGATCGATGGCACACAGCATGCCTCTGCCACTGTAGTGATCTGACTCTTGTCTCCTTGTGTGTTGCTTAGGTGTTGGAACTGAAGGAACACAAACTGGATGGGAAGTTAATAGATCCTAAAAGGGCAAAAGCCTTAAAAGGGAAGGAGCCACCAAAAAAAGTGTTTGTTGGTGGGTTGAGTCCAGAGACATCTGAGGAACAGATAAAGGAGTACTTTGGTGCTTTTGGCGAGGTATGGTATAACGACATAAAATATAAAAACAGTTCTGGTTTTTAAGTGCAGTTGTTTAAGACAGAAGAATTTATGACAAAGGAGTTGGCTTAGGCTTACGTAGAACTAGGGTTTGTTGAAACTATATGCACGTTAATGATTCCATAGTGGTGTGGTGGGCTGATTCAAAGCTGTCAGCATAGCCCCTGGACTGCCAGATGGTAGCATAAAAAGTTGCTTACCGATTTCATGCATTATTGACTTTTGATTTCAGATTGAAAACATTGAGCTTCCCATGGACACAAAGACAAATGAAAGGAGAGGCTTCTGTTTTATCACGTACACAGATGAAGAGCCAGTAAAGAAGCTGCTAGAGAGCAGATACCATCAAATTGGTTCAGGCAAGGTATGGGAGCTGTCATTCTTAGTATGTGAAATGTTACAGGCTTCCCTGAAAGCAGCTCGCATAATGATCTTCACATTCTTGGCGAGTTAAAGAATTCCTGTTTTTACAGTGTGAGATCAAAGTAGCACAGCCCAAAGAGGTATACAGGCAACAGCAGCAGCAGCAGAAAGGAGGAAAGAGCAATACAGCTGGTGGACGAGGAGGTGGAAGGGGGCGTGGACGAGGTGAGTATTTTGGATGTTGAAATTAAGGTAAATGTGTAAGTGTATGTACCAAACACTAAAGTATTTGTAGACAGTCCAGATTTCGGATGCATGCAGATTTCATGTTTAAACTCAATGTGGAAAGCAGCCTGCTAGTAAATGGTATTTTGGTGGTTGCGATTGTGGAAGCTCAAGAAACTCTTTTTGCTCTGTTTGCATTCAAGTGGTGAAATTGCAAGCTGGAGGTAGGGTGCTTTTGTATACCCACAATTGACAGCATAGTTAAATGGATAATGCAGTTATCCCTTCACGTGAAGGGATACACTGATAGTTGGCTTATGGGTGAGAAACCATGACCTGCTTGCTGAAGAGGAAGACAGTTGCTTTGCTGTGCCGTGCAGATAGATGAGAAACAATCAGCTGGTTTTTGTGTAGGTTAATACATCTCAAAGTCAAGCAGTCACAGCCAACATGATATGGTAAAGTTTGTCCTTTGATATAACTTGGTGTTCAGGCAATTAAGGGTCCAAAATGGAAGTTACAAGAAAACAGTAGAAGCTGCTTGTAGTGCGTGACTTCGGTGTTGTTTTGTTTTTATTGGCTGTTCTGTGAGCAGGACTGTCTGCTGTCTGTGTCTAATGTTGTGGGTGAAAAGATCTTAAACCTATCTCATATCCAAATGAGACACCTCAGTTCTTACAAAATTTTTCTTTGGGGGGAGAGTAAGAGGATTCTTCCAGGTAGTAGTTTTGGCATAGAAAGATTGCCATAGAAAGCTGGATGAAATGGCATAGCACAGAATGAAATTGTAAGTTCTATCACTTCTAAATGTTATACTTGGTTTCAGGTCAGGGACAAAACTGGAATCAAGGATTTAATAACTACTACGATCAAGGATATGGGAACTATAATAGTGCTTACAGTGATCAAAGCTACAGTGGCTATGGAGGCTATGACTACTCCGGGTACAACTATCCCAATTATGGATATGGGCCAGGATACACAGATTACAGTGGTAAGTGGTTTTGATCTCATTCCAGATAATAGCATGCAGTTTTAAACAGGTGCCTCTTCTAGTAACTTGTTCTGTTACACCTCTTACTAACATATGACTATGAAGAGCATCCCTCTTCATGTACTGTATGGGGACAATCTCATTCAGAGTGTTGGCTGTTAATGCTTCTGTGTTGTTCTTTTGTTTTTTTTTTTCTCCCCAATTTTATCTACAGGTCAGCAAAGCGCATACGGAAAGGCATCCCGTGGTGGCGGCAATCACCAAAACAACTACCAGCCGTACTGAAGCAGTGTTTAGTACTTGAGGAAACAGGTGTGTATATAAATGCAAGGTTTACACTGAGTATGTCTAATCTAATTTAAAGATCAATAGACAAATGAAGAGTAAAAAACTTGTATAGCATGACTTTAAGCTTTTTTTAACTTAAAAAATACACTTTCTTTTTTAAAGCCAGCTTTGCCTACAGTGTCTATAGATCTTTAACTTTGTAAAAATGTGACCTATCTTCTCTAGTACTTCAGAAAAACATAAGAGTTTTTCTGTTTTTGCGTTGTGTACCAGGTGGTCTAGAGGAATAATTAAACTTATTAAAGTATTAACAGGTAAAGTACTGAAATGGGTACAACTTAAGGAAAACAAGAATGTTGTCTTCTAACTCTGACATTATACCTTGTTTGTACCCGCCAGCGGGAACTTCATTGCAGGCCGTGTGTCACCCTGACCACGTCTATCTCTGGGGTCGCACGTTGCAGGCAGAGCGCAAGGCATACACCAGAAAACGCTGTCCTGTGGTATGGTCTCTTCCAACTTCATGTACCAGCGTAAAGATTAAAGTGGAAAACTTCAGACTTTGGCTTCTTTTTTTAATCTTTTTGGAGATTAAGTGTCTTTAACTTAAATGGTTTTTTACAGGAGTTAAAGTACATAAATGCCTTTACAGCTTAATCATTTGGTCTTCTGTTTAGTGTTGTATTTCAATTGTGGAACCTCATTTTAAAGTGTGCATTCTTTAAAATTTAATGCTTGCTTTTTTCTTTTTATAGCTAATAGTGAAATCTGCAAACCAAAACGAACTTTTAAATCTGGAAAAACATTAAAGATCATATGCGTGTGGACTGTTTGAACTAAATTGACCTGATGTGCATTTGCATAGCAGTCATTTAGATGGATAAATAATTGAAAACCTTTTGTCACTGTTTACAGTGGGGGGAAAAAAAAAACAACAAACTGATCCAGAGCCTGATTAATAAGCCTAAATTGGATATATGTTCTGGAGCAGCTTCCTAAATGGGCTTGGATGGCTGTATTTGGGAAGATAAATTACTTGATGGGTAACAAAACCTATTGCGTTACCTAAATAAATATGTATATGATCTTTAACAGTGAAGAAAGGAATATATAGAAGACTTAAAGCAGTTCATGAAAATGGACCTTTTAACGATTCTTGTAGTAACTTGCACAGATCTGACATACATTTTGTCTTAATTTTTAGGTAGAGATACTGCAACAAAGCCATCGTGCAGCGCATCGTGAGTGAATAGAGGGTGTTCTTCGTGAGAGGAAATGACTATTTTGTAAAAGACTTTTAGTGTCCGACACACAACTGTGTCCAACTGTACATAGTGGCCAGCTAGTTTTCTTTTATGATTTTTATTTTCCTTTTGCCATTCATGTCATGACACAATGTGGGCTTGTGTTTATACAAACTTTTATTTGTATAATTTCATGTTAAAGGGTTCTCTAATAAATGCTTACTTAAGTGAGTGTGTAGTCTTGCTGTTGACTGTCAGCTTACAGTGTTATAAACTGTATTTGTATAGATGGGTAGATACCTTTCTGGAGATCATAAATGGCTCAAGACAAGAGTTACTCTATATACAGGTCAGTACAACCTGCTCCTTTTCCTGACCTGTCTTTAAGAAAACGGTTCCCTTGAGTTAGCATGACTGGCAGAGTTACCTCTTGCCCACTGCAGAAGAGAGGAGAGAATGGTCTGTGGCACAGTACTGCCAGTTCCATACATCTCAAGGGAAGGATCTAAGGTTAGAGCAGCACCTTTTATTTTGGTAGCACTGCTTGTTGAGAGTGTTGCAGGGGTGTGAGCATAATCTTTCTAGGTTTTTCAAGCAGGTTCTAGAATACTTAAGGCTGTAAGTTACTTCTCCTTATGTATTCCAATTACAAGCAGGTGATACAAGTTCCTTAATTCTAGGGTTGGCACCTGATTTCAGTACAAGTTGGGGATCTATTCATTCAAGTTAGATTCTGTATTGGATTCTTCTCAACAGGAATAGAAAACAGGTTTCCCATCTTGAATATGCTAGCAAGCATCATTAATAAAAGCCTGAATGAGTGATTGCGGGAGAAGGGAAACTGCTTTAACCAGCAGGTTGTCTTCTGAGTAGAACAGCTGGGATAGGTAAGTGAGCATACCTATTCAGCCTAAAGCTGAAGGATTGCAGCAATCTGCCTTAACATTGTTTGCTTTTTCTTCCTTGGCACAAATGTGTAGTTATGTGTCAAAAATAAACCTTGATTCTTAGAGTGATATGAAATGTGAGTACCTAAATCACAGGGGAGGCCAGTCTTGCAAAAGGGAGTAGTCTGGGAAGAGATTTCTCTCCTTTAAGTTTCCAAAGTGATTTTAAGGTTTATTTCTTTATCAGGCAGCTGAGTGTTTCATTCTCTTTTGTCATACAGAAGTGCTGCATACCACAACTTTTAGTTTAAGGCAGTTACTAGATCTGGGGAGGTTCCTATGTCTTGTCAATTAGATTGGATGAGGAAAGACTTGTTGCCATCACTTCTTACAAATTAAAGAGCTAGAAGTTGCAGCAGTATGTGACTGTATGCCTAACTTTTCCACAGTGTTGCTAGATGCAGAAGCTGTCCTTGCCAACAGCGCTTTACTTTTGTGACTAGGATGTGGCTTTGCTATTACACTTTTTTATATATATGTGTATATATATATATATATAAAAGCACTTGCCTAAGGGTCAAGTTGTACTCCAACTTGTATCAATGTATGGTTTAAATGTAAAAGTGACTGATTTTGTGTGTGTGTGAAGCGAAATTTCTGTATCTTCAGGCCCTGGGAACACGGACGGAGGTGGCTGCAGGCTGGCCCTGCATGCTCGGGTCCCAGCGGGGCTCAGACAGCCGCGTCGGGCAGGTGTGCCCCGCTAACCGTGCCCTGCTCCGCGGCAGCTCTCGCCCGAAAAAAACCAAAGCGCGAAGTTTGGAATCCGGGTGCCCGCGGGCAAACTGCCCCCATCCCTCTGCTCCAACGGCCTGGTGCCGCGGCCACCCCCCGCCCCGCCGCCGTCTCTCCGTCACGTGACCGCGCCCGCCGCTCTCCTTCCGTCCGCCATTTTAGGTTGTGTCGGTGGCGGCGCCATTAAAAAAAGAGTGAAAGGAGGAGGGCTCGGTGCGCTCCTGCCGGGGCCGCGATCGGGGGGCAGGGGCCTCGGCGGGGAACGGGCCGGCCGGCGGGCGGGCGGGCGGCTGGGCGGCGCGGTCGCTGGCTGTCTGGCCGGCCGGCCTGCGCGGGTCAGCCGCACCGGCGCCATGTCGGAGCAGCAGTTCGCGATGGACGCGGCGGTGGCGGGCGCCGGAGGCAACTCGGC